AGAATGGCGAGTATCAAAAAAACAAGAAAGTGTGAGGATGTGGAGAAAAGAGAACTCTTGTGCACTGTTTACTACAAAATGATTTACAATAGCCAAGATATGGAAGCAGCCCAAGTGTGTATAGATAGATGAATGGATAATGAAGTGATAAATACACACACATACACACATGACAGGCTGTTACTTACCCACAAAAAAGAATGAGATCTTGCCATCTGTGACAACATGTATGGAACTAGAGGGTATTATGCCAAGTGAAATAAGTCAGACAGGGAAAGACAAATACCATATGATTTCACTTCTATGTGGAATCTAAAAAGCAAAACAAACAAATGAACAAACTCTTAAATACACAGACCAAACTGATCATTACCTGAGTGGAGGTGGGAGGGAAGAGGGGCAAAATAGGGAACGGGGATTAAGAGACACAAACTTCTGGGTGCCTGGGTGGCTCAGTCCATTAAGCATCTGACTTCAGCTCAGGTCACGATCTCATGGTTTCTGAGTTCGAGTCTTGCATTGGTGAGCTTGAGCCCTGCATTGGGTGAGCATGATCCCCCGCTTCGGGTGAGCCCCATTTCTCTCTCTCTCTCTCCCTCCCCACCAACCCTCACTCACTTCCACCCTCTCTCTTTGTCTCTCTCTCTCAAAAAAAGTACAAACTTCCAATTATAAAAAAGTCATGAAAATGAAAAGTAGAGCATTGGGAATATAGTCAATAATATTGTAATAACATTACATGGTGACAAATTGTAACTCCACTTACCACGGAAGTGCCCCATAATGTACAGAATCATCAAGTCACTATATTGTACACCTGACTCTGATGTAACACTGTATGTCAACTACAATAATTAATTTTCTTACTGTTTATTTATTCTTGAGAGAGACAGAGCATGAGCAGGGGAGGGGGAGAGAGAGCGAGGGAGACACAGAATCCGAAGCAGGCTCCAGGCTCTGAGCTGCCAGCACAGAGCCCAACGTGGGGCTCAAAGCCACAAACCATGACCTCATGACCTGAGCCGAAGTCAGGCAGTCAACTGACTGAGCCACCCAGCACCTCTATAGTGATTAATTTTATGAAAAACCTCGTGAATTTCTAAATTATTCTCGAGGATATAAAGTTTAGAATTTTTAAAGTTTAGATATAAGTGTACCCTATTTTTCTCTTATGAAAATGAATTTGATATAAAATGAATAATGAAGAAAAGACAGGTTGAAGACTGATTACACCTACCTCTGCAAAGGAACAAAATGAAAAGTCCCTGTGGTGTTAGTTTAAGAAAAGGCCTCGAAACTCTAATCCTCACTACCTAAGTAAAGAATGTCTTCATATTAGAATGTCTTCAGCCAAAGCCACAGAAACACACCCAGTTCATAAAGTACAAACAGTACTCCCATTGTACAATGTGCTTAATACGCATCAGGGCTTCTGCGTGTGTGTGTCACTTTCTCACTGTGGCACATTGGGCCATTAAGATACCAGTGTGGGCTGTTTTTCTTTTTACTGACTTTGTATATCGTAGTAATAATCTCAAAATTGGGGTTATCTTGCTTAGCCTACCAGAGAACCACAATTTCATCTCAACAAGTCTGCCGTTTCTCACTTGAGCTGGACTTCTGAGAATCTGTTTTATAGTTAAGAAAAACCTGACACTGGGAACGTCTAATGATAAAAAAAAAAAAAAAAAAAAAGAAGAAGAAAAAGAGAAAATGTTAGGCGGCAAGGAGAGAGCGAGTAAGAAACAGGGAGAAAGATAATGAAAGTGACTGCCTGGGTGTCAAAGATGATAACAGCTGGGAGAAAGGCGGTCAGGCTGCCCAGAAGTCCTGATCTTTCAGAAAAAAAAATATCACCTACCAGCCAGAGACCAGGATTAGAAGGGCCTGCTACCTACTACAGAACACTTCCTCTCCTCATTGCTGAGGCTTAACCAGCTTCAGCTGCTCACATGTCAGGGTCACTGAAGTCTTACTTCTGGAGACTGTAGCTGGGTCTTTGTTCCTCCCAATTCTCATACCGAGAGCTTCCTCTGACTTCTTCCTAACCAGAAGTATACAGCAGTGCGTTTCCCTTTGGGGGAACCAACCTGGCCTCCCCGCCTCACACATCTATCCTGCAACACAGCTCTAAGCTCTGTGAACAACTTCAAAGACCCCTTTATATCGAAATAAGAAAGTCTCTTAAATAAGTCTATACTCACTCATGCCTCAGAAAAAATGTTTTGCCCTCACACTTGCATGTAGTTTTTCTCTGGTAAATGTGACGAATGATTATTCATTCCAGTGACACATACTGGCCCCTCGGACGTAGCCTGGTCTTAACAACCTGAGTACGTATTTTCCTCAACATGTCTTTTCTTAAAGCAAAGAAAAATTATTTATTTTATATATTTATTATAATTTATTGTATTATAAACTGTACAGACACTTACTACAAGATTCTCCAGCTGCACACCTGCCTCCTTCTGTTCTGTGGAACCTGTTTAAAATTTTAATAATTAACTTGCAGCCTTCTCCTGTCATTACGTAAGAGTTTTAACAGTCACTTGATTCCTAGTGATAAATGGGACCAAAACAAAAATAACCCATACAAGATGACCTAAGAACCTCAACTTCCCAATTCAAGTTTCCAGTAAAGACTTGAAACTTTGGACCTCACACACAAAAACTGTGACTTCAGCCTTAAATTAAAAGTGGAAGAGGAACCAGACAGTAAGTATATTTTTTATCATTCCCGGCCAACTGTTTTATATTCCATTCTGATTTTATTATAGTTTATAATACAAACAATGTATCTTATCCATGATGTCCCTGGTGATCCCTGAAGGGTTCTTCTTTGTGTCTCCAGGGGCCAAAAAGTGTTCATTGTTGAATATGCTTGTTAAATTATCAAAGGAATAAATGGCATCTGAAGAGTGACAAGAGGGGCCTAGGTCTTCCAAATCCTTATATTCTGCACATTCAAATGCTCCCTGCCTTCTTTTCCAAAATATTTTATTCAGACCACAGAGACTCAGATGGTAAGGATGACAACGATATTAGGGCAAAAGGCTTCCCTTTCTGCCTCAAATACTCAACTCTTTGAAGATGTCACTCCCTTTCCTCCTTATTCAAGCACAAGTACAGAGGTTTGAGGAAGACACTCCTCTACTCTCACCAAACCCACATCCAACTTTCAGCCGTATGGGAAGCACTAAACTGTCTAATTCCAAAGGTAAATAACTGAACTCATACCATCGGTACTTCAGCCAAATCGGGCCAGCATACTCCTTTTCATAAATTCAGAGTTTCTCATTTTGTGATTTTGCTACCTGTATAAACAGGAGCTTTCATGGAAGGGGAGAATCGGAAGACAAAACAGTACCTTCCAGATAACACCAAGAGAACTTCAGAGAGACTTTTAGGGGCACCTGGGTGGCTCAGTCGGTTCAGTGTCTGACTCTTGATTTTGTTTGGCTCAGGTCATGATCTCACAGTTCGTGAGTCCGAGCCCTGTACCCAGCTCTGGAGTGGAGCCTGCCTAGGATTCTGTCTCCCTCTCTCTCTCTGCCCCTCCCCCCTCTCAAAATAAACAAATAAACATTAAAAAGAAGTTTTAAAACAAGAGAGATTTTTAAGCTCATGGAGAGGATATAAATCTGTCTGCTGACACTTGTATTTATGTACACGGGGAGGAGACAAGGAATAAAGACGCCTTTCACTCCACAGCACCCACCCAAAAGATGCTACTTTATGGATACCATTCTCTAACCTCTATCCCTATCCCTAACCTTCACTTCAACAGTCAAAACTGAAGTAAACTTGCCTAACAGCTGCTCTGTAGAGTAATCCAAGGAACCACTGCGGATTTCCTAACAGTAAAGTAAGATTAGATTCATACCAAGCTTCCCCATTCATTAACAAGAAGTGCTGCCAAGCTGCCCAGAAATTCCCCTTTCAAGTCCCACAGTCATCCCGGAAACATGAGAAGCCAAGTACACTGCAATCATGGCCTTTTTGGTTACTGGATCCAAAATAAACTGGGCCCAGGCCAAGGCTGTCAATGAAGTATTTTCCAATGAAAAACAAAAACAGCCCAAAAAGTTCTGAGGATTCATTTACTCAACACAGCTATCCCAGCCATACCTAGTATAGTGACAGTGTCCAACCTTATTTAATGATATTAAACTAAAACACCCAGTAGAAAGCCTCTCTAATCACCTGAAATTATACTATGCCTTCAGGTCAACGTTGACACTATGGATGGAAAACAAGGGCCTAAGGGTTCATTCACAATAGGCTCACAGGACTCTGAGCAAAGGGTGAGTTATAAAGTCAGACTTGTTTAGACGGGAATCTTTAGGGTAAAGAAGGCACATGTAATAAAAATTCCTACACGCCAAGAACGAAGCCACTTTATCTGTATCAACTTATTTTACACCAACAACCCTGTAAGACTGATATTACCAATTCCCATTTTAAGTTCCAGGAAACAAAAGAACCAGGCGACTAAGCAGCTTGCTCAAAGCACAGACGTGCTTACACAGCCCAGACATAGTGTGAACTGGTGGGCCTTGGATTTCACAGGGGTCAAGGTAAAGCGTCCCAGGGTTTCACCAATATTCACTAAAATAATGGCCAGCAAAAGTGTCTGGAGACCTATCTGCCCTTGCTTCTCCTTCCACAGAATTTCTGCTTTTCCCTTCCATTGAAAGGTATGCCACGTTCCTCTAACTTCACAGCACTCCTCTGAAAGCAACCGCCAGTATGAAAGCATGTTCCGTTTACACACAGGAAAACTCAAGCCCAGGTTCTTCAACGTCTTCCCTAATGAGGCTCTTTGAAATCATCTGGTACATGAGTCGGGGAATGGGGGCCGGGGGGGGGGGGAGGCGTGTGGAAAGGAATCCAAGCACGGAAGATCGCAGCTTTAAAAGCAGGGATACAAGCAACCGAACGGTCGGAGGGCATCCACCCCGCTTACATACCGTGTGCCACAATGACCCCTATACAAGTACCTGGAGCCTGGAGGCGGCACAAACAGCCCTACCACCAATCTACACACGAGTACTCAGCGGCCTGCCCAGGCCCTTCACTCGAAGGCGCTCCGTGGATGTCGGCGGCACTAAAGTGGTCTTTACAGTTGAAGAGGGGCGGCGGGAGGCCCAGGAACGGGCGCAGCCCCAGGGCTCCGCAGATAAGAAAGCGACCGCCGGGACCTTGCCCTGCGCCGGTCGCCTCCTCCGCGGCGTGAAGCGGGTCAGCGCACCCTGGATCACGGGTTCCGGAGCGGCGGCAGGTCCAGCCGGGGGTTCGGCCATTTCTCCCAGGCCGCTGCGGGGAAGGGGCGAGGCCCCCACAACCTCGGGCGTTCGCTCTCTGGCCCCCTGCTCTCCGTCTTCCTTCGAATAAGGCGGCTCCGTCCGGCCCCCCGCACCTCGGGCCCTCTCTGCCCGCACCTCCCCTCGCCGCCCCGCACGGCGCCCCGCACGCCCCATACTGGCCCCGGCGCCTGCTCCCTGGCCCACCCTCGAGCCCTCCCGGGCCGGCCTCGGGAAAGCGGTGCGGCCGCGTGACCCCTGACCTCGCCCGCCAGTCGCCTTACCGGCTCGGCAACCTGGACCAGACAGGACGCCCTCGCGCTGGCCGCTCCATATCCCGCGAGCTAGCGCCGAGCCGGCCAACCCCCTACACGCCCCGCGATTGGCCGACAGGACCGCGGTCGCACATTCCTATTGGCTGGACTCCTCGTATTCCCGGTAGCTGCCGGCGCGCGTGGCCAGCCGAGGGCGTCCCGAGGGTCCGCCCACCGCAGGGTCAGGCTGGAGGCGGGGCCGCGGCGGCCTGGGCGGGAGCTGCTTCCCGCGGAGCCATTGCGAGCGCCGGTAGTGCTCACTGAGGGTGGACCTGGGGGCCCTGGCGCTGGCGCGCCCAGTCCCAGGACAGATCAGTTTCCTACCTTAGTTACCCGCTGCCTCACATTAGGTACTGGCAGTCAAGTCCCCTTTTTTCTAAACTTGGCTCATCGAGGTACAGCTCCACTCTGTAAAGTTTAGCCAACCTGGCAGGACCATTTCGTCTCGTCCCCAGAGCCACACCATAGTATTTGCTGCTTCACCGAAAGCAACCCACACCCGGGAGGAACCGCAAGACATCAGCTAGTGCAGCCAGTTCCACCGCATCAGATGCCTCACTCCCAAAGCCTCGGTAATGAATTGTTTTCCTCCATCCTACTCGCCTGGCTCGCTTCTTCCCCCAAGCTGTATCTCTGCCTACCTAAAAGCGATCCCACTGCAACCCCAGCCCCAGCCTCACACGCCAGTCTTTCCCTGAAGATGATGGCCAGACTAGTGGTGCTTTAGAGGGAAGAAAAACAGTGTGAGGAGCCACCCTCGTTTTCTACAATGTCCTTTAGAGCTTCCAGAAACCTTCTTAGACACCTCCCTACAGCTTACGTTAAAGATAACCAAGCTTATCTAACCAAATTGTAGCTAGAGAGGAAAAGAAGCATAAACCCCTCCAACTTCTTCGCGTAAAAAAAAAAAATGCTAGGAGAAAATTTTATTAGATAGTAAAAGGAGTCCAAGAGAGGAGGAAGGTGAATGAACTGCCAAAAGAAAACTCCAAATCAAGGGCAAAGTAAAAAATTCAGGGACAAAAAAACTGGACTGAGCATCCTCAGTTAATCTGGTACAGGCTGGTTTCCACACAGAACTTCTCCTGGAGAGAAAAAGAAAATGCACAAATTAGTTCTGAGAATCTCTCTGGCACATCTGGGTAGTTTCAGAAAGGCTTTGATGGAGTCCTTCCAGACCAGAACCTGTCCTTGGGGAACTTCTGCTGCAACTAGAAAGTAAAATGGCTGGAGCCGTTCATGTCACCCTACCAGGTCTGCTCAGCTGAGCAACCTCTTTGGGCCTCCGCACGGTTGCTGGCTACTTACTGAGCTCACAGTGTGGAGCTTCATCCTTCTGAGGTTGCTTCTTCATTGTGCAGGCTGGACTAGACTTCCGAGTGTCGGCTCCTGACTCTATATATGCAGACAAGTGCGCCTCCCTTAGTTAGATAAGGGCACTTGGGCTGCTCTGGGCAACACCACGCTGCTAAACCAGACACAGCCGGGAATTTCAAGAGGCAAGCCACTCCCTTCCAAGCATAATCACATTTCATCTTTGACCGGCCATGAAAAGGGAAGCATCGTATATCTGCCACTCCTGGATATTAGTGGACAATTGATTGAGTTTGAAAACTTCTATTCTAAGATTTTATCTTTGATCCACCGGCCAGGAGCTGGAGGCCAGTCTGTGAGTGGCAGAGGATGAAAGGGGTGGAGTAAAAGGAATTGCTTTCCTTAAGGATGCCACTCCCCTTGGTGCGAAGCTAGGGTACTTGTACCACAGCAGCATGTGTACCAGGACTCTGCTCCCGTAAGGTGTGAGCTGAAACCAATTAACCCCAAGCCTGACAATTTTCCATAGGTACGTGCAGCACTGATGCAATTATGAGGAGTCTCACGGTGTGCGTAAAAGCACCGCCCAGTCTGTCCCTTGGGATCTGAGGGACCCGCTGGCTCAGCCTGGTAAATCAGTGATCCACAGGTTGACAACAAAGCCATGCAAACGAAGGACTGGTGTACCTGATGGAAAGGAAAAAGAAAAAACAAAAAACAAAAACTTGAGACTGTAAAAAAACAAAGCCAGAGCAAGCCCAGAATTTCTCAATCTGGGAGGTGGGGAAATAAAAGAATGAGGAAATTATGCCTCTGGCAAATTGTTTAGTAGGCCAGCTGGAGGCAGAGGTGGAAAGGAGACTTGGGGGGCAGGGCAAGAGAGAAGAAAGAAGTGGGGTCCTGGGAGGAAGAAGTTGCTGTGTTCAGAAAGTTTTCTGATACGTTTAAAGAAAATCTGCTTAATACCACAAAAAAAAAAAAAAAACCCTATGAGAATAAGTGCAATAGAAAGAAATGTCTTAGAATGGAAAAGAAAGGAAAGAGTAATCAATTCATAGGCTCCTAGCAGGTAGCTCTGCTTCCTACTCCGAACAGCCGAACAGCCGTAGAGTCAGAAGATCTATGAAATCTCCTGCCCTGGATCTCAGCAAACTCTAAAAGTCATATCGTTACAATGTGACCTGCTCCTTGTCCTTGTTTCTATCTCAGACAAGTTCCCTAAGGCAAAGCTGCCTTAGATTGAGCTGGGCACCAATCTGTCCCCCTTCGCAGGAAAATAAGTACACATGGAATCATCCATGAACTAAAATGTTGGACGAAAAAGCCCTATGTTAGTTTAGGAGTTCGAAAAACAGGAATGGATTCGAAAGTGAGACTCTACCATAGCTCCTGTTTCGTTTACTCAACAGTGTGGCCCTGTATATATACTCCACTCATGCCTTCCAGGTCCGCAGTTCTCACTGACAACATTAATTGCACTCTTAATGTATCTATAACAAACCCCATTTTTAACATGTCACAAACATGAGTTAATCCTCACAACAGATTTGTGAGGCAGGAACTATATTTTGCAATTTAGGAACCTGAGTCTTTGGGAGGTTTCTGGCCTGAGTACACACAGTTAGTGGTAGAGCTACGCTTTGAACACAAATCTGTTCTTGAACGAGCACAACTACCATACCATTCTGCCTCTGCTGTGTACACCTAAAACAATTTCCTTCCATTCAAATCTAGCTCAAAAAACGATCTCTTGTAAATTCCCTGAATATCCACATTACCACACTAGCCAACTCATTTCTCTAAGATGTAATACGTATTTGTACTACCTGTGCCCTTTATTGTAATAGAAGACTTCCTTCCATGCTTTACCATCCACCCACCCTCCAAGTATTCTTTTTCATGCTTTTGTTTTCGCTGAAACAGCTGCCAGGAATTCACTCCTCCCACCTCTCCCCTTCCTTACTTGGAAAACTCATTATTATTATTTAAGCTTCCCACAAAATATCTGCCTCTGTGGTGCATTCCCTGACTCCTCCAGGCAGCATTAGCCCTATATTCTGTCCTTGATCCACGCACTTTTTACTCTACTCTAGCACTGGCTCAGTCTGTGTATACTTATTGAGAATCTACTGTGTGCCAGGCATAGATGGGGTGGTACAGATACAAACACAAATAAGATAAGCACAGCCTCTTACAGAGTTTTTTGGTGCATCCTTCTCCCACTAAATTGTTAGTTTCTCAATACAGATGATTATCTTATCTTCGTACACCTGCTAACAAAGGCCAGCTATATGGGAGGTGTTTCATAAATATATTAGTCCACTTTTTTTCCCTTATTTTATTTTATTTTATTTATATTATTTATTTATTTTATTTTATTTTATTTTTACAAAGAGTTTATTGTCAAATTAGTTTCCACATAACACCCACTGCTCATCCCCACAAGTGCCCTCCTCCATGCCCATCCCCCCTCCCCCCCACATCCATCAGTCCTCAGTTTTTGTCAGCATTCAAGAGTCTCTCATGGTTTGCCTCTCTCCCTTTCCCCCACCATTTCCCCCCTTCTTCTCCCCCTTTTTCCTCAGCTAAGTTCCTCCTAATCCTCCTATACATGCAAACATACGATATTTGTCCTTCTCTGCCTGACTTATTTCGCTCAGCATAACACCCTCAAGGTCCATCCATGTTGCTACACATGGCCAGATTTCATTGTTTCTCATCGCCATGTAGTATTCCATGGTATAGATAAACCACATCTTCTTGATCCATTCATCTGTTGATGGACACTTAGGCTCTTTCCATGTTTTAGCTATTGTTGAGAGTGCTGCTATGAACATTGGGGTACATGTGCTCCTATGCATCAGCATTTCTATATCCCTTGTATTAGCCCACTTTTTATTTTTTATTTATTTTTTATTTTTTTTATTAATGTTTTATTTATTTCTAGGAGAGAGAGAGAGAGAGACAGCGTGAGCAGGGGAGGGTCAGAGAGAGAGGGAGTCACAGACTCTGAAATAGGCTCCAGGCTCTGAGCTGGCAGTCAGCACAGGGCCCGACGCGGGCCTCGAACCCACGAACCGCGAGATCATGACCTAAGTGAAAGTCGGATGCTTAACCGACTAAGCCACCCAGGCGCCCCTAGCCCACTTTTTAATATGCTATGGCTAACATATTGCCTGGCAAAGCAATACAGAATAATAATTAGGATATGTTTACATTAATGTATCTATTTCCAAAGTTGAGTCTTACTATCCTAAAAATAGTCCTCTCTTGAATC